GTTGGGTCATGAAACGCCTGCAAGAAAACCACCCAGCTCAGAGAGCACCCAGGACCCCACAGCTCAGCCCCGATCTACAAATATTCTCTTCTAAATCACAGCCACCCAAGCTTCTGGCAGGGCCAGAAATCCTTTGCTGGTGGGGCATGCAATGTTTCTCTCCCCCCCCCCTCTTTCCCTGTTCCACACCTTCACTCCAACACAGCCTGGTTGTCTACGTGGAACAAGAAAAAGAGGAGAGCTGTCGTTTTTTGCAGTCCAGAGAACATGCCTTGGGCGTGGGAGATGGCCAAGAGAGAAGGAGTGGGGGGCACTGAAGGAAGAAGGATGTTTCTTTGGGCTCCCCCCCCCAACTCCGTCCCTTGGGTGCCGTTCGGCAGCACTCAATCGGTGCAAGCACGGAGGGGGAGAAGAGAGGCTAATGGCTTGGTTGGGGAGAGAATATATTATGTCTTGCCCTAACGATGGTCTTGGGGGCTTCCTCTGGCCCGTTTGAGCGCATCTAATGGGCCATTGGGCAGGTGGGCGAGAGCGTAGCCATTAGGGTCCCCTGAGAGAGCAAGGGGTGTGAGAAACACAACACAGCCTCCAAGCGTCATTAAGGGAAGCAGCAAGCAGTTTATTGAAAAACACACCTTCTTGCTAGAGCAGGTGGCTAGCAAAGCCGGCACAGCCCCCAAAATAGATCTCAACAGCGTTTTTATTCCCTCGACCCGAATCTCTCTCCCTTGCAGTCCCCTTTGACTAGGATCACAAAGTTCACAATCTTTCCGGAACGCCAAGTTCCCCCCCCCCTGTGAATCCCCTACCCGTGTTAGCAGGGTGTGCGTGCAGTTTTGCCTCGCCCACAGGCCCTCTTCTCTAGGGACCCATCTGGTTTTCATGGAACCCATAGGCATCAGCACTTAGTTTCATTATTAGAATAAAATAACAGAGCTGGAAGGGACCTTGGAGGTCATCTAGTCCAACCTCCAGCTCAGGCAGGAAACCCTACACCATTTCGGACAAATGGTTGTCTAGTCTCTTCTTTAAAACTTCCATTGTTGGAGCATTCACCATTTCTGGAGGCAGGTTGTTCCACTGATTAATTGTTCTCTCTGTCAGGAAGTTTCTCCTTAGTTCTAGGTTGCTTCTCTCCTGCCTTCAGGTGCTTTGGAATAGAATAGAATAGAATAGAATAGAATAGAATAGAATAGAATAGAATAGAATAGAATAGAATAGAATAGAATAGAATAGAAGGGACCTTGGAGGTCATCTAATCCAACCCCCTGCTCTGGTACGAAACTCTATACCATTTCAGACAAATGGCTGTCCAGTCTCTTCTTAAAAACTTCCAGTGTTGGAGCATTCACCGCTTCTGGAGGCAGGTTGTTCCACTGGTTAATTGTTCTCACTGTCAGGAAAATTCTCCTTAATTCTAGGTTGCTTCTCTCCTGCCTTCAGGTGCTTTGGAATAGAATAGAATAGAATAGAATAGAATAGAATAGAATAGAATAGAATAGAATAGAATAGACCTTGGAGATCATCTAGTCCAACCCCCTTGCTCAGGCAGGAAACCCTATACCATTTCAGACAAATGGCTATCCAGTCTCTTCTTAAAAAACTTCCAATGTTGGAGCGTTCACAGCTTCTGGAGGCAGGTTGTTCCACTGATTAATTGTTCTCACTGTCAGGAAGTTTCTCCTTAATTCCAGGTTGCTTCTCTCCTAGATTAGTTTCCATCCGTTGCTTCTTGTCCTGCCTTCTGGTGCTTTGGAGAATTAAGGGCAAGCTCTTGTGGTTAAAACTCTCAGCTAGCTTGCTTTAGGACCGCAGATACGTCCTGCCCTTTTCTCATAATTCTAAGCCTTATTGCATTTCTTAGTACTGGTGGTCCCTAAAAATGTATGATACCTGCAAAAGCAACATTTAGCTATTATTGCTTTTCCTACACGTGGCAGTGGGAGGGGGCATCTGACGGACAGGTATGGGGTGGAAGGCCCAGGAGGGCATGGCAGGGTGGTCTTCACTCAAAGTTGCCCCTTGAGGGCTGACGATGCACTCAAGGACAATTAGGGAGGATCAGAGACTACGGGGGTCCTGAACCAGCCCCGCTGGAGGGCTTTAATCAACCAACTAAGACAGCGGTTCTCAACCTGTGGGTCGGGACCCCATTTGGGGTCGAACGACCATTTCACGGGGGTCGCCAAACAATGCAGTCCGCCATTTTTCCCCCCTTTTCCTTAGCTATGCTACTCACTTTTATTCTATTGGCTTTTGAAAGCCAATAGAATAGACTCTCTTGAATAGAGTCTAATTCTATTGGCTTTCAAAAGCCAATGGGAATTGTCCAGGCTGTCTCTGCCCTGCTGAGCCCGCCAAAAGTCCCATTCTGCAAACGGTACTGCACCAGTTGAGTCGTCCTTGACTTACAACCGGTTGAGTAGTCCTCGACTTACGACTGGTTGGGGGTCGTGGCATTAAAAAGGTTGAGAACCACTGAACTAAGATGATCAAAGGCCTGGAGATTAAAACATACGAAGAACGGCTGCGGGACTTGGGTCTGGCTAGTCTAAAGAAAGGAAGAAATAGGGGAGACATGACAGCAGTGTTCCAGTATTTGAGGGGCTGCTACAAAGAAGAGGGGGTCACGTTATTCTCAAAAGCACCAGAGGGCAGGACGAGAAACAATGGTTGGAAACTGACCAAAGAGAGAAGCAACCTGGAATTAAGGAGAAACTTCCTGACAGTGAGGACAATTAACCAGTGGAACAGCTTGCCACCAGAAGTTATGGGTGCTCCATCACTGGAGGTTTTTAAGAAAAGACTGGACATTCACCTGTCTGAGACGGTATAGGTTCTCCTGCTTGAGCAGGGGGCTGGACTAGAAGATCTCCAAGGTCCCTTCAAGCTATATTCTATTCCACTTAGAGCTGGTTCATGGGTGGGCAGCAGCCCCCCCCCTTTTCGGCTGCTGTGTCTCTGCTTCAAAATGGCGGGGTGCCATCCTGACCAAGCTTTTTGCACGCACGCACGCACGCACGCACAATTGCACAACCCCAAGACGGAATTTGTGCAGCTGCTTTTTGTGGTTTGATGCCTAAGGCGCACACATCCTGGCTTGATGCACACCCCCCCCCCCCAGGCTTTGAAGAGAAAGCCCTGGACTGGAGGACAAAAAGCAGCATCGCACCACTGCGACGCAAAGTTTGTGGGTTTGCTAGACGTGTTGCGGGTGCGGCAGGCGGGTGAGGAAAGGGTGACATTGTGTGGGGATGGTGCTGCTTGGTAGGTGTGGATGTGACTTGTTCCTGGAATAAGCCCGTGACTCAAAGGGGGTTCAGCTCAGGTCAGTGACTCAGGCAAAGAAACAACAGGCAAATCTCATCTTGGAGAAGTCTCTTTAAAAGTAGTCCTCAAGTTACGACTGGTTGCGATCTTTCTTCCTATCGCAGTCCTTCTTTCTGTTAGTTAGATGGATCTATCTGGGAGTGCTTACAACTCTGATTGGAAGCTCTCTCTCTCTCTCTCTTTCTCTTTCTGTCTCTCTGTCTGTCTCTCTCTCTCGCTCTTCCTCTCTGTCTCTCTCTTTCTGTCTCTTTCTTCCTCTCTCTGTGTCTCTCTCTTTGTCTCTCTCTCTCTCTCTGTGTTTGTGTCTCTCTCTCTGTCTTTCTCTTTCTCTCTCTCTTTCTGTCTCTGTCTCTGTCTCTCTTTCTCTTTGTCTCTCTCTCTCTGTGTCTCTTTCTCTCTCTGTCTCTCTCCCTCTCTCTCTCTTTCTCTCTGTCTCTCTCTTTCTGTCTCTCTCTCTCTTCCTCTCTCTCTCTCTCTCTGTCTCTCTTTGTTTCTCTGTATGTGTGTCTCTTTCTCTTTCTCTCTTTCTTTCTCTCTGTCTCTGTCTCTCTCTTTCTCTCTCTCTCTCTGTCTCTCTGTCTCTCTCTGTGTGTCTCTCTTTCTCTCTCTGTCTTTCTCTTTCTCTGTCTCTCTCTTTCTCTCTCTCTCTCTCTCTTTCTCTTTCTCTGTCTCTTTCTTTCTCTCTGTCTCTCTGTCTATGTCTCTCTTTCTCTCTCTGTCTCTCTCTTTCTTTCTGTCTGTCTGCCTCTCTTTCTTTCTCATTCAAAGTACCTCAAAGCATGTAACATCAAAAAGATGTTGAGACTTTGGAAAAAGTGCAGAGAAGAGCAACTAAGATGATTAAAGTCCTGGAGACTAAAACATATGAAGAATGGCTGCAGGTTTTGGGTTTGGCCAGTCCTAGAGAAAAGAAGGACGAGGGGGGACATGATAGCAGTGTTCCAATATCTCAGGGGCTGCCCCAAAGAAGAAGGAGTCAAGCTATTCTCCAGAGCACCTGAAGGCAGGTCAAGAAACAATGGATGGAAACTAATCAAGGAGAGAAGCAACCTGGAATTAAGGAGAAACTTCCTAACAGTGAGGACAATTAACTGGTGGAACAACCTGCCTCCAGAAGTTGTGGATGCTCCATCACTGGAGGTTTTTAAGGAGAGACTGGAAAGTCACCTCAGTTCAAAAATCATTGTTCTATGATGGATCCTTTCACCCAATTGAAGGTTACAACAACAACAACAAAATAAAAACAACAACAACAATAATAAAGTTGGAAGGGACCTTGGAGGTCATCTAGTCCAACCCCCTGCTCAGGCAGGAAACCCTATACCATTTCAGACAAATGGCTGTCCAGTCTCTTCTTTAAAACTCCCAGTGTTGGAGCATTCACCACTTCTGGTGGCAGGTTGTTCCACGGGTTAATTGTTCTGACTGTCAGGATGTTTCTCCTTAGTTCTAGGTTGCTTCTCTCCTTGATTAGTTTCCATCCGTTGCTTCTTGTCCTGCCTTCAGGAGCCTTGGAAAATAGCTTGACTCCCTCTTCTTTGGGGCAGCCCCTGAGATACTGGAAGGCTGCTATCATGTCACCCCTCTTCATTAAACTTCATTAAATTAATTAATTAATTAATGATTACATTGAAACGATTTGCTGAAACGAAGCCCTTCTTTTTCCCTAGGCCCCCGGAGAGAGCGAATACTCTGATCCGTTCGATGCTCACCGGGAACCAAAAGGGGACGCTGAAGAGGACGCTGGTCTGGAAAACAACGGTTACATGGAGCCCTACGATGCCCAGAAGGTGGTGGCTGGTGAGTGGAGGCAAATAAGAATAGAATGGAATGGAATGGAATGGAATGGGATGGGATGGAATGGAATGGAATGGAATGGAGTAGAGTGGAGTGGTGTGGAGTGGAGTGGAGTGGAAGGGAACGAACAGAACAGAACAGAGCTGGAAAGGACCTTGAAGGTCTTCTAGTCCAGTCCCCTGCTCAAGCAGGAGAACCTATACCATCTCAGACAAATGACTGTCCAGCCTCTTCTTAAAAATCTCCAGTGATGGAGCGCCCACGATTTCCAGTGGCAAGCTGTTCCACTAGTTGATTGTCCTGACTGTCAGGAAGACCGACGGTGAAAAAGTACAGAACAAGGAAAAAAAGAGAAAAAAAAGAGGGAAAAAAGGAGTTAACTTTCTCCTTTTATCCTAAAACAAGTAAAGGCAATTTTATAGGTATTCCTGGACTTATGATGGTAATGGGGCTTACCTTTTACGGCTGGAAGTTGGGACGGTTGCCAAAATGGGTCGGTCATCGATTTTACGACCTTTTTTGTGGGGTGTGTGTGTGGGTGGCCGTTAAGCGAATCACATGCTCGTTAAACGAATCCAGATGCCCCTCATTGATTTTGCTTCTCGGAAGCCGGCTGGGAAGGTTGCAAATGGCCATCAGTGTAACACCGGGACACCATAACCATCATAAATACAGGCCCGGCGCCCGAATTTGGATCCGTGACCAAAACTGGAGAGGCGGCAACAGTCATAAATGCAGCGAGTGGTCCTAAGTTGGGGTTTTTTTTCAGTGCTGTTGTAACCTTGAACAGTCACTAAATGAACGGTTGTAAGTCGAGGACTACCTGTATAATGGGATCCTTCGAACAGTCACTAAATGAATGGTTGTTAAGTCCGGGACAACCTGCATTATGGGATCCTTCAAACGGTCGCTAAATGAATAGTCGTAAGACGAGGACCCTCCTTATGATGGCATCCTTCAAACGGTCACTAAATGAATAGTCATAAGCCGAGGTCTCCCTGTATGATGGGATCCATCGAATGGCCGCTAAATGAATAGTCATAAGCCGAGGACCCTCTGTAGGATGGCATCCTTCAAACGGTCACTAAATGAATAGTCATAAACCAAGGACCCTCTGTAGGATGGCATCCTTCAAACAGTCACTAAATGAATAGTCATAAGCCGAGGTCTCCCTGTATGATGGGATCCTCCAAGGGCCGCTAAACGGAGGGTGGTAAATCGAGGTCTCCTTGTGTGATGGGGTCCTTTGAGTGGTCGCTAAACAAACGGTCGTAAGTTGAGGACTCCCTTGTATGATGGGATCCTTCGAACAGTCACTAACCAAATGGTCGTAAGTTCAGGACCCTCTGTATGATGGGATTCTTCAAACGGTCGCTAAATAAATAGTCGTAAGTCAAGGACCCCCTGTATGATGTGATCCTTTGAACGGTCACTAAATGAATAGTCATAAGCCGAGGACCTTCTGTAGGATGGCATCCTTCAAACGGTCACTAAATAAATAGTCATAAGCCGAGGTCTCCCTGTATGATGGGATCCATCCAAGGGCCGCTAAACGGAGGGTGGTAAGTCGAGGTCTCCTTGTGTGATGGGATCCTTTGAGTGGTCGCTAAACAAAACGGCCGTAAGTCGAGGACCCCCTTGTATGACGAGATCCTTAAGTGGCAGTTCAAAGTTTCCTTTCCCCGTTTGCAGACCTCCAGCGCAAAAATGACTGGGACGAGCAGCGGGGGAAGAAATCCCGGATCGGGCTGCAGCTTTACGACACCCCCTACGAGGAGAAGGCAGCCGAGGCAGAGGACCCCGAGGCCGGGAAGAGCGCCGAGAAGCCCCCCAAGAGCCGGCTGCCCCAGGAGGACGAGCGCCCGGCCGACGAATACGACCAGCCCTGGGAGTGGAAAAAGAACCACATTTCCCGCGCTTTTGCTGGTGAGTTGGCAACCCAGCCCGGGGGGGGGGGGGAACCACAATTGCTGCGACTTCAAAGAAATGCTGACATTTTGGGGGGGGGGGGGAAAGAAGCCTTGAAACTTAGCCAGGGTTTAAAAAACAAACCGGTTGGATGAAAATGAGCCCTGCCTAAGTCTTTTGCTTTGTGGAAGGCGGCGGCTAAGTTTCTAGTCCTCAGGGGTTTTTTGTTCCGGGGAAGCTCTTTTGCGTTTAAGCGGGAATCCGTTGTAATATGCAGTCTGTCTCGCCCCCCCCCTCAAATACCAGATGGTCTATATTAGAACATGGTTGTCCAAGGTTGGCCACTTTTAAGACTTGTGGACTTCAACTCCCAGAATTCCCCAGCCAGCCATGCTGGCTGGGGAATTCTGGGAGTTGAAGTCCACAGATCCTAAAATGGCCAAGGCTGGACATCCCTACCCTAGAACAAAAACCACCCAGAAAGGAGCTGGAGTGTAAAATCCACCTTCAAGAGGACCGCTCTTAAAAATAAACATGCAATCTTCTAGTCCTCCTGCTTCATCCTTTTGAAAGTGTGTATTCCTCCCTATCCTAGTGGGCATCTTTGTAAAACAGGGGAAGAGATTTAAACTGCTGCAGCAGGAAAAGTTAGCTTTGATCTTGTGCCATCTGCAGTAAAATTAAACTAAAATACTTTTTTTAAAAAAACCACCCCCTTTTTTTTTTTTAGAAAATTGCAGTGAGAGAGAGAAAGAGAGAGAGAGAAATTTGCAATTAAAAATATAGATGCTGACAGGTTCTTGGTAAAGTCTTAGACCATCAGGAAATGCCTCCAGAAGTTGTGAATGCTCCAACACTGGATGATTTTTTAGAAGAGATTTGTCTGAAATGGTATAGGGGTTGGACTAGATGACCTCCAAGGTCCCTTCCAACTGTTCTCTTCTCTTCCCTTCCCTTCTCTTCTCTTCTCTTCTCTTCTCTTCTTTTCATTTTCTGAATTTTGAGCTTGGTGCTTTTCTTGCAGACATCCCATTACCCAACTAGGGAACATCATCAGTACTAGAAGGGAGAGGGACTTCTGGAGAGGAGGAGGAGGAGTAGAAGGAGGAGGAGGTGGTGGTGGAGGAGGAGGAGGAGGACTGTGGGATCCTTGGTGTTCTCTGAGCTTGATTCTTCCTTGTAGACGTTTCATGACCCAACTAGGCAACATCATCAGTATTAGAAGGAAGAGGGACTTCTGGAGAGGAGGAGGAGGAGGAGGAGGAGGAGGACGACGACGACGACTGTGGGATCTTTGGTGTTCTCTGAGCTTGCTTGTTATCTGCAGACATCTCATTACCCAACTAGGGAACGTTATCAGTGCTAGAAGGGATTTTTGGAAAGGAGGAGGAGCAGGAGGAGGAGGGGAGGAGCAGGAGGAGGAGGAGGACTATGGGGTCTTTGGTGCTCTCTGAGCTTGGTTTTTTTCTTGAAGATATTTCATGTCCTATCTAGGTAATACCATCAGCGTTAGAATGGCGGGGGACGGCTCTCTGTTTGTATACAATGGCTTGCCTTATCAGAGTGGATGGAAATGTTGCTTTTTACTTGGTGATTCCTTGAGGGGGTTTTTGTTTACTGTTTGATAGTTTGTCTGAGCAGGCAGTGGCAAGTTACTATGTATAAACCAGTGGTTCTCAACCTGTGGGTTGGGACCCCATTTGGGGTCGAACGACCATTTCACGGGGGTCGCCAAACAAGGCTGTCCGCCATTTTTTCCCCTTTTCTTTGGCCAGGCCCCTGGCAACCGATGATGTATAAATGGTTGGGGGTCACCACAACATGAGGAACTGTATTATGGGGTCGCGGCATTAGAAAGGTTGAGAACCACTGGTATAAACAGAGAGGCATCCCCACTCCTTCTGAACACTGATGATATTACCTAGATGGGTAATGAGAGGTCTGGAAAAAAAAACAAGGTCAAAGAGCACCAAGGACCCCACAGTGGTTCCATCCCGTGAGGACTTCAATTCCCAAAATTTCCCTAGCCATGGGGAATAAGTCCTTTCCCCAGCCATGGGGAATTCTGGGAACTGAAGTCCACAGGTCTTAAAGCCTGCGAAACACTGATTTAATTGTAAATAAATTGCCAACAGTGCTAGAGTGTTACTTACTTGATTAAAATGATGAGGAAAAAAAGGAATGATTTTAGAATAGAACAGAACAGAACAGAATAGAATAGAAAATGGAAAAAAATAATATAGAATAGAATGGAATGGAATGAAATAGAATGGAATGGAATAACAGAGTTGGATGGGACCTTGGAGGTCATCTAGTCCAACCCCCTGCTCAGGCAGGAAACCCTACACCATTTCGGACAAATGCTGTTCAGTCTCTTCTTAAAAACTTCCAGTGTTGGAGCTTTCACTGCTTCTGGAGACAGGTTGTTCCACTGGTTAATTGTTCTCACTGTCAGGAAATTCCTCCTTAGTTCTAGGTTGCTTCTCTCCTTGATTAATAATAATAATAATAATAATCCCCCAGTGAGGCACTACCTTGACGTGATTGTGGGGCTTGTGTACTCTGAGGAAGATGAGAGCTATGCCAGAAGTTCAACCATACTGGACAGGTCTCATCAGAGGAGTCAGACAAAGAGTGTCTCTCCCATAAAAAATATGGTGAGACGTAAATTTCAGAATGCCATACCGGCTCGGATGTCGTCTGGGTTAACAAGTCCGTGCTAGATATTGGAGTTCCTGGATATCTGGTGAAAAATGGGTTACAGGACTCAGGATTGTTGGCTGAGCAACCAGAGCCAGCAGCTGCAGAACTACTGGAAGAAAAGGTGTTTACCCGTCGCAGATACACAGTGATTGAATGATACCTGTAACACCATCAAACATCCACATCTGCCTATCCAGGTCCTGGGTAAGGACTCGATAGGTAGACAAAATGCCAAATCCAGTCTGAACATCTGGCTGACTGTGCGATGATCCATAATAATAATAATAAAGTTGGAAGGTACCTTGGAGGTCATCTAGTCCAACCCCCTGCTCAGGCAGGAACCCTACACCATTTCGGACAAATGGCTGTCCAGTCTCTTCTTAAAAACTTCCAGTGTTGGAGCATTCACTGCTTCTGGAGGCAGGTTGTTCCACTGGTTAATTGTTCTCACTGTCAGGAAGTTTCTCCTTAGTTCTAAGTTGCTTTTCTCCTTGATCAGTTTCCATCCGTTGCTTCTTGTCCTGCCTTCAGACACTTTGGAAAATAGCTTGACTCCCTCTTCTCTGGGGCAGCCCCTGAGATATTGCAAGGCTGCTATCATGTCCCCCCCTCGTCCTTCTCTTCGTTAAACTGGACATCCCCAATTCCAGCAACCGTTCCTTATATGTTTTAGCCTCCAGTCCCCTAATCATCTTTGTTGCTCTTCTCTGTACTCTTTCTAGAGTCTCAGCATCTTTTTTACATTGTGGTGACCAAAACTGGATGCAGGATTCCAAGTGTGGCCTTCTGGATCTGCTTTGATCTTTCTCCCCAGTTTTCCCACCCTTTCCTGAAATCCCAATCCCTAATTACGGCCAGCGATGATCTGTGTTTTGTTTCAAGAAACAGCCACACCACTTAATGAAATAATAGCTGCGGCTGAATGTCTGGAATTGACGTGTGGCATTGGGTGGGTCTGGCAGCACTGCCAAACGTTAAACCTGATTGAGGGTTGTGTTGTGTGTGTGTGTGTGCTTGAGCACCGGTGTGTAGCCTCTTCAGATCTCCCTCCTGTTCTCCATCAATCATCTGGAGAGCTCTTTTCCATCCAGATCATCGGGGGCTCCCTGTGGATTTGGCACCGCAGCGAAGGGGGGGGCGCCTCCGATCAATGGAAACCCCCCGTGGTTTGTTTTGAAAAGCAGCGACACCCTGACAACGCACAAGGAAATGTCAAGAGATCCTTGTTCTTCTTGTCTGCTCAGCAACGTTGGCAGCACAGAGATAAAATTATCTCCCGCAATAGACAGCTTAGCCGTAATTGCGCACGCCGGGTAAATTTTAAAATCGCATTTCCCATTTGTCCTCTGAAAATCCCCAAGCCAAATTATTTTCTTGTTGTGTTTTTTTTAATCCTTGCAACAACCGGGGGGGGGGGGGAATGCAGGGAATCCTCAACTTACGACCACAACTGAGCCGTAACATTTCTGTGAGCTAAGCGAGACCTTTGGTTCAGTGACTTTGGGCCCGTTTTACGACCTTTCTTTGCCTCGGAGGTTAAGTGAACCCCTGCAGTTGTTAGGTGAGGAACACGGTCGTCTGGCTTTCCCATCGGCTTTGCAGGTCAGAATGGTCAGATCGCATGACCCCGGGACACTGTAACTGTCATAAAGACGAGTCGGTTGCCAAGTGTTTGAGTTTGGGTCAGATGATCGTGGGGGATCGGTCGAAAGTGTGAAAAACGGTCGTAAGACCCTTTTTTCAGCGCCGTTGTAACTTGAAACGGTCACTAAATGAACTGCGGTCAACTGCTGCAAGGCAGGGCACAGCCACACTTTGAGACCCAGCCAAAATGGGGAAAGTCTGTGCTGCAGCTGCCAAAAAAGCCAACACAGTGCTGGGCTGCATTAATAGAGGGATAGAATCAAGATCAGGTGAAGGGTTAATACCACTTTACAAGGCCTTGGTAAGGTCACACTTTTGGTCACCACAATGTAAAAAAGATGTTGATATTCTAGAAAGAGTACAGAGAAGAGCAACAAAGATGATCAGGGGACTGGAGGCCAAAATTTACAAGGAACGGTTGCTGGAATTGGGTCTGTCTCGTCTAATGAAGAGAAGGACAAGGGGGGGGGGGACATGATAGCAGTCTTCCAGTATCTCAGGGGCTGCTGCAAAGAAGAGGGAGTCAAGCTATTCTCCAAAGCGCCTGAAGGCAGGACAAGAAGCAACGGGTGGAAACTAATCAAGGAGAGAAGCAACCTAGAACTAAGGAGAAACTTCCTGACAATGAGAACAATTAACCAGTGGAACTACCTGCCTCTAGAAGTGGTGAA